TTTTTTATTTTAACAGATGACTGCTTGAGCTAGTGAACAGTGAGTAATATGATTAATTCTCCAGAACACCAAGATAACAAACATGACCTAAACACTGCTCTTCAGAAACACCCTGTCTGCTTGCCTCGGTTAGAGATTGGGTAGCTACAGCTCTGAGGATGCATTTCACTAAACTAACCTAAAACTATAACTAGTGTTTCACAGTGAGGTCAAGCATTGCCTACACAATAAAAACCTCCTCGAGCTGTGTGTAAACCAAGGCAATCAAAATACTCACTTTAACAGAATGACAGCGGATTCTGAAGGTGCGTCTCTCACATTTAGATTTTCTTGCAGTCTCGCCCTGCGTCTCATCAGTGTAACCTGCTGTATTAAAATGCCTTTTTTTTCTGAGGATAGTTAATTTGGTTCGTGTAGGAAAGTAAATAACCTTCAGATACTGATTTCAAGAACTTAAGGTTTCACATTCTATTTCTGTTAAGAAAAGGAAGTCTGTCAGTTGCATATAATGTGAGGAGAAATGTATTTGCATACAGCTATTTGTCCAACATGACAAATGACACAGAACTGTACAGAACAAAGCAATGTGCAGTATGGACAAAAAACATAGGTCTGCTAAGTGCAATGGAGCGTCACACAAAGAAAAAAAGTGCAGTGATTCTCTGGACATCCTGTATCTCCTGTCCCTTTGGTCACAGACTCTCATCAGCGCTCGTCCCTTCACCGATTCTTCAGTTGATTTGCAAAGTAATGGGAAACATGTATGTTTGAACCATCCTCTGCATTTCCAACTGTTTTGAGCCCAAAGACATAAAAGAAATATGCATTCAAAATTCACTCATGTCCACTGTCGTGTGCGCACTTTACAAACTGTTAAACCTGTCAAACTACTCCTGGAAATAAATATTAATATATAACAATAAAATATTATAGTGACCGATCTTGACCAGTGTGTCCTCTGCCGTGCTAAATTTAACCAACATGTTAGCCAACATTGTACAAGGCGCATGTAAAATGACTGAGACAGGAGTCTCTTCTAGACACTCTAAACCCACCGCCACAATGTACATTTCAAATTCCTTTAATTTTAAATATGTTCATATTGTCTATTTTGTAAACTCCTCAGATTGTCTACTCTTATTTAATTCGCTTAATATACAGAATTCACCTGCTTGCTGCATACATGCTACTACTGCACATTCACCTAATGTATATATATATATA